TGCCAAGACAGAGAAAAAAAACCTGCAGGTTTGTGTTTGTCTGCTTTGAACACCCAGAATCCCAATCTTATGTCATAGCCCTGCTACACGGAATTCATTTACATGGGTGATCAATTAATGTGCAATATCTGCTTGGGAGTTCTCGCTCTTCTGAACCCACGAAACGTGGTCTTGAAAGCCGTGTGAAGATAAATTCACTAGCTACAGGAATGAAGACGTTGTCAGCAGATCTTACTGTTCTAGGCAGGTTTTTTTTTTTTTCCAATTAATAATGCTGCTTTACCTCAAGAACATGTTTTCTTAAAAAAAAAATGTGCAGCGGCATGCACGTAATCCAATGTGGCAGCCACCTTACCATGAGATGAGCGGGTTGCTTCCTCACAGACATCCTTGTTCCCTCCCCACCATGTTCTGGATCCGGGGAACGGATCTCTTAGGAATGGACTCATCGACAACCAAGTGACTCTGATTTTTACCACACAAATAGAAGAGGCAAAAGCCAACCAGTAACAGTGATAGAACAGAAAACAATAGAGGAAATGAGTATAGTCCAAAGTTCTCCAAGTGTACAAAGAAAAGGTATTAAGTTTCTCAGGATCCACATAAGAGTGAAAACATACGGTATCTGTCTTTCTCCGTATGACTTATTTCACTTAGCATCACACTCTTCCCAGTTCCATCCACCTTGCTACAAAAGGCCATGTTTCATGGGGGAGGGGAAGGGAAAGAAAGAGAGGGAGGGAGGCAAACCATAAGAGACTCTTAAAAACTGAGAACAAACTGAGGGTTGATGGGGGGGGATGGAGGGGAGGGTGGGTGGTGGGTACTGAGGAGGGCACCTTTTGGGATGAGCCCTGGGTGTTGTATGGAAATCAATTTGATAATAAATTTCATATTAAAAAAAGGAAAAGAAAAGGTATTAGTATTACGTTTAAATGAAGTCTTTATCTACACCGGTTTTCTCTTAAAAGCAAAAAGAAAGCTCTATCTGAATTCATCCAACAACTGATCTTGTATCCGTCACTTTTAAAATATATAATAATGTGACAGCTAATTTGGTATTCAAATTTATCTTGAATGACAAAAACTTAAAACCGATTGTTTTTTGTATTTGTATTTGTCACACTATTGTTGAACCATTGTCAACAAGAAATACACTTTGTTTTACTACTGATGACAAAATCACACTAAACCATAAATCAAAAGTTATTATCATGCTTTCCTAGATCATTCCCTATAACTCAAACTATAAATAGGCTGGGATTAGAAGTGAAGCTGTGAATTTTCTGAAGGAAACTAGGGCAAATATTTCAAAGTTGCAAGTTTTCCTAATGAAGACCAAATAAGCAGACCAGTTTCTTTTCATACCTTAGAAAGGTATTTTTTCAGTCTAACTATGTTGTTTCTGAGACTTACTCTTCTGTGCATGTATCTCATAAACTGAGGACATATGACAGTGATACCAAAGGAAAGGTAACTGTCCTAGTAGTCATTTTTGGATCATTCCCTTTTGATACGATTGTATGTAAATAGAGATATCTGCTTCTTTATTTCTCATTTATTAACTGTATTTAATGAAAATTAGTTGGCTGTGTAGTATTATTACTCACTTCTTTTGCCACCTAGATTTAAGAGGGTATATTTAACATATTGAATCTCGATAAATTAATAAACAAGTAAATAGAATATTACATTAAGGTATGATATTTAAGATGTATTGTCTAAATCAAATTTCCTATGTAAATAAGTGGGTTATTTGGGGCAAAAATGAAGTATCATACAACCTAGCAGTTGTATTCCTGGGCATTTATCCCAGAGAAGTAAAGATTTGTGTTCACAAAAAAGAACCCTGCAAGTGAATGTTCATAGCATAGTTTATTTGTGTTTTATAATCATAAAATGGAAACAATCCAGATGTTCTTAAGTGGATGAGTAAACATACTGCATATCCGTAGCATGGAATGCTACTCATCAATATACAGAAATTAACTACCAATATGTACACGATCTAAAGAGCATTTGGCTGAATGAGAAAAAAACAATCCCAAAAGGTAGCATACTATAGGATTCCATTTGAACACGTTCTTGAAATGATGAAATTATAGAACTGGGGAACAGAGCAGTGCTTGCCTAGGATTAAGGAGGGGGTGAGGGTGAGAAGGAAGCGGATATGCCTATAAAAGGACAACATGAAGGATGGGACTGTTCTGTATCTTGACTGCACCTTGGTTTTAATATTGTACCGTCCTGTTGCAAGATGTCACCACTGGGGGAGCCTGGGTATGGAGTAAACATGGTCTCCGTATTATTTCTGTGTATTATTTCAACCGCATGTGAACCAGCAATTGTCAAGGCGAAAAAAAAAAAAAGTTTCAGAAAAACGATTTGTGAATTTTTATTTGCCCTTATTTTATTTTCCATTTGGATTAATTTGCATGTCTATATTTATAGATGATACCTTTTATTTATTATTCTACATTCAGTCTCATTTAAAAAAAAAAAAAAAGGTTTCTTTTAAGCTGGGTATCTTTGTTACATTTAGAGGCATACAGATCTATAAAAATATAAACACACATACAGTGATTTCCCTGAGAGTTTTGACCCACCTTTTCATCAAAGTTCCTCTCTCTTTTCTCATAGTTTTGAATTTTTGTCATCTATTTTAGCATCTGCAAAATCATAAAATGAGGAAATGGCAAAGGTGGTTTTGCACAGTGTCTGTAAATACACAGGTAGACGGCGGCAGGTATTGGAAGCATCGTGTTTGGGAAGGGGGGCAGAAACCTCTCGCCAGAAAGCCTGGAATCTTTGCGGTGATGGTCAACAACGCTGGTGATCCGGAGCCATGTGGCATGCGAGCCCCGCGAGCCCGGTCGCAGCGCCCCAGCTGGGAGCTGCAGGATCCATCGCCACAGTGATTTAATAGCGGCCCCGTGCGGCAGCGGCGGGAACTGCAGGTGTTCAGCGGCAAACTGGGCCCCTGGGCCGACGCTGGGGTGCAGCGGGTCAGGGGCACACTCCATCCCGGTTCCACTCCGGGAAGTGGGGCACGGGGGCTGGGTGACCGGCCACTGCTTCTCACATTCACTGGACCACCCTCTGGAGTGCCCACAACGGAGGGACTTCGGGGGAGAAGGGCAATGAAGATTTCCGCAGTTAAAGCCAATTTTCCAACACGTGGTTGCTCTCCATCATCCCCATCTCCATCATCCTTTTAATTTTCTTTTCTTTTTTTTTTTTTTTTTTTCGCTCTGGTGGTGTTGTTACAGGGCATCCCACCCTGGGTTATTTTTCCCCTTCAGGATTTGATTTGCTCCTATTCTTCCCCATCTCACTAAGAGGCACTCTCATCCACCCACATACATCCTCAAGCCAAAACCTTGAATCACCCCTAAATTCCTCTCTCCCCTCCTTCTACATGAGCAGGTCCTGTTGGCTCTCCTTCCAAACACATCTTTTATGCTCCATCTCCGCCACCACCTCCATGGTCCAAACTACTCATGTCTCTCTCTCTGTCTCCAAGCTCCCGTAGATCTCCCTCCATCGTTGCTAGACAATGGCCCTCCTGAAACATGAATCAAATTCTGGCATCCCCTGTTGAGAAGCTGGTTCCTTCCTACCTCCCCAACATCCTATGTTTACTAGATTTCAGCCACATGGGCCACAGTGTCATCTTTGACCATGACAAACCCTTTGGCACGGGCTAGGGAAGGCTCTCCCTCGGGATGACTGCCTTATTCTCATCCTTCGGGTCTCAGTTCAAACGTCTCACCTCCATGGAGAGGCCTTATCTAAATTAGAACCCCACACCTAATGACTCCAGCCACTTTCTCTTTCCTATCACCATGTTTTCCCCTTAATAGCAACTCTGTAAGATAACGGGAGAGTCTGGTATTTATTTATATGTTGTCCATCCACCAAGTTCCAAAAAGCAGAGATTGTGTTTATTTTGATCACAGTTCAATTCCTAGCACGTCACAGACTGTCAGTTTAGAGAAGTCATTCAATAAAAATTTTTGAATTAATACACTTCTTCTAATTAAAAAAATGGGGGTTGAGGGGATAAACGTGGCTACTACACCATGGAAACACAGCAGAAGCTATGAGAACTACACAGTAGGGATTCACCCACTTCAAGCAACAGCACAGATTTTACGTGAAGTCAGACAAACCCCTTCCCTGAAATATAGTAAGCAATCCTGTGGGCTTACTTGCTTGGGAATGGGATACATCTACCAGAAGTAGGTTTAAAAAAAAACAAAAAACAAAAAAAAAACAAAAAACAGATGACAGAACAGAAATACAGACATTAAGGGAAATGAGTAATGTTATACTAAGTATTGTTTATAAATCCAGATCATAATTCATAAAGTACGTTACAAAAGGGAAAATCTAAAGTAAGGTTATTCTTGTAACTCTCACACAAACGAAACTTCTAGAAGAGCTGAGGGCCCGGGAATACTATGCAACTTTTGCATGGGAGGAAGGAATTTTGCCTTTTGAAAAGAACAAAACTCTTAGGACACAGATAAAGCATGCCTTTTAAAAACTGATTTCACAGTAACTATTCTATACATTTTGAGAAATCTTGGTACTACTTTGAGGCATATCAAATTAATTCATTTATTTCCCTGTTAATAAAGAAAAGGTATATTCACAGAATTGGTGCATTTAGAATAAAAAGTAAACAGAGGAATCAGGAGACCTGGAGTCAATAACCTCTTGATGGACAAATTCGATCACCTAAAAACACAAACTTGCTGATTCTCAACCGATCTTCTCACACTTAATGTTTCACACATGGCTGGTTCAACAGGCCAGCTTTTCAGGAAAGCCCAACACAGGATTCTCCAAAAATATGTTGAGACTTTCAGGATGGTGGGGTGTAGGTAGGGTCTGTGGAGTTTTATGTGTAATAGTAAGAAAACCCCTTTCAACTTTGATGTTCAAGGCCAGGAGCCATCAGCCTCCCCACGGGTATCCATCCAGGATTCTTAAGGCTAGATTTCATCAGGTAAGAGAGCAGTTTGCTCTTCCTCTGTGCCGAGGATATTTTGGAGTTTAGATCTGCGTTGAAGGGAAAAAGAGGAGTACCTTACTATTTCTCATCTTAAAAAGACCCAGTACCTACACCTCTGCCTTTCCCCTTAAATGCCATCTACCAAGTGATGAGGCTTACAGTGCCCAGAAATCTTCTGCCTGAAGGAAGGGCGTAAAATGGCTATTTCTTTTCCACTGCCCTGGGCTGACTTTTCTTTTTTTAATGTTTACTTTTTTTTTTAATGTTTTTGTAATGTTTATGTTTGAGAGAGAGTCAGAGAGAGACAGAGCGTGCGAGGTGGAAGGGCAGAGTAAGGAGTCACAGAATCCGAAGCAGGCTCCAGGCTCTGAGCTGCCAGCACAGAGCCCGACGAGGGGCTCAAACCCATGGGCTGTGAGATCATGAACAGAGCTGAAGTTGGACGCCTAACCAACTGAGCCACCCAGGAGCCCCTAATGTTTACTTATTTTGAGAGAGAGAGAGAGAGCACATGATCAGGGGAGGGTCGGGGGGGAGGGGGATCCCAAATAGGCTCCACGAGTCAGTGCAGAGCACACGAGGGGCTCCAACTCACGAACCCAACTGTGAGGTCATGACCTGAGCCGAGATCAAGATCTGATGGGTACCCAGCTGAGCCACCCAGGTGCTTCGAGGGCTGATTTTTAAAGGGAAAAAAATAAGACCAAGAACTGACCATACCTTCTTCTCTGTGCGTGCTCCCACAGGTAAAACAAGCCCATCGCCAATCCCTTTAACACAATGAAAGGGGCAGTTAATGCCAATGCTCCAAATCACGCTTCTCTGCAAATGCCAGGAAGATGAAAACAAAAGGCTACTCACACTTGTCAGAGCCCAAAGACCTTGCACAGCAGCTGCCCATTCAAAACCAATTTTCTCATAAAGAAATCCACCCAGTGTGGGTCCTATAAAAGCACTAAGAAAAGAAGAAAGCGTATTAAATAGTGTAAAAAAAAAAAAAAAAAGAATTATTTCCTAAAGGCCGCATGATCCCTCAATCATAGATCTTCATTAAATTGGAACTGTAAGTACTGAAGACAGAAGCCAATTCCTGGACGGAGCACTGGGTGCGACAAAACCAATTCTACCCGATAATGATGATGTTTAACGCTTTTTAAACAATTCTAAAATTATAACTGCTTCTAAAAAGTTGGTGCCTTACATAAAAATTTTAAAATGTGACATACATGCAAAAGAACCCTTACATGATTCTCTCTATTGTTCTCAATAATTGTATTTAAAATAACTCAAGTCTGCACATATTTATTGAGATATTCTACAGTTCCAGCATACATTTATTCCTCAGGAAGAGCAAAGAATAAAAACGAAACAAATGAATGAAGAATACTGAGACATGACCTGTTAAAGGAACTTAGAAAGGTCACTGAAGACAAAGTATATGGGGACCATTTTGATTAGGTATTAAACTGCTGGTATAAACTAGTGATCTTGGAGTCAGAGGGTGTGGGGTTAGGACTCCAACTCTGCCCTAAATGAATTAAGTGCCTTTGGGCACCTCATCAGACCTCTCGGTGTCAGTTTCTTCAGGCAAATGCAGATAGTATTTTCCATCTTGCAGGTGTGAACGAAATGGCTACTCACCCAACTGACCACATGGCACTGAAGAGCCCCGACACAAGTCCCAAGGTACTTAATCCTTCTTCAAATCCATTTTCGCTGCAAAGAGACAAGAGTAGATCTGTTATGGACAGGGAAACCTGCGTGAAAGCAATGAACAGTGTGTGACAAATAAATTAAGAGACTGGGAATAATCTGGGGGCACCTGGGTGACTCACTGGGGTAAGCGATCAACTTTGGCTCAGGTCACGATCTCCTAGATAGTGGGTTAAACCCCTGTGCTGGGCTCTGTGCAGACAGCTCGGAGCCTGGAGCCTGCTTCGGATTCTGTGTCTCCCTCTCTCTGCCCCTCCCCTGTTCACACTCTATCTCTCAAAAACGAATAAACGTTAAAAAAAAATTTTTTTAAGAGACTGGGAATAACCTGAACAAAACCAACAGACAGAACACTCCATCTCTAAGATAAAAGCGAATCTAATCTGAAGGAATTTTCATAGTTACCTCTACTCCATGGTTTTCTAAAAATAATTTTACTGCATATCTAAAACATGATATTAAGAATCATGACCCATTTGCATGAAGTCTCATAAAAATACATAATTAAGAAATTCTTTTTTTTTATGTTCTATTTATTTTTGAGAGAGAGAGAGGGTGAGCAGGGGAGGGCCAGAGAGGGGGGGACAGAGGCTCAGAGGTGGGCCCCCTGCTGACAGCAGCAAGCCCATGTGCGGCTCGAACCCGCGAGCCCGCGAACCCGTGAGATCATGACCGGAGCAAAAGTCGGACGCTCAACCGACTGAGCCACCCAGGCGCCCCTAAGAAATTCTTAAAATGAGATGAACATGCAAAGAGAATAATGGGCAACTTTTAGAAAACACGGAGGCAACTCATTATTCCTCAGAGAATACTGAGTCAACCCAGTGGATCTCCTCCCTGCTCTAGTTCACGTGGTGTTCTTTACCATCATGCCTAGTAAACAACACCGATGGCCAAGTGACAAATACCGGTGCGATACTGTGATTCATAGTAAGAAATATATATCTGGTCTCCCTCCTGTTTGCAGCATAGAACTCATAACACCCTTGGAATTTCCTAAGTGATTAAAACAATTTCAAGTACCTTTTTTGTTATGTTCATGTGGTGGCTTTTAGGGGCTGGTTGCCCAGAGAGTCAACCATGTGATTAGAGGGGTTAGAACTTCCAATCCCAAGACCAGAACCCCCCACCTCTGAGGAGGGGCCAGGCTGGAGATGGAATCAATGGCCAATGGTGAGTGATTTAACCAATCAGCAGTATGTACACAAAAATCCCAAAAAGGACAGGGTGAGAGAGCTGCTGAGTTGGTAAACCAGACCCTTTCCACATGCCAGTGTGCCAGGGCTCCAAAACCCACAAGGACAGAAGTTCCTTTGTTCAGGTTACTCTTTGTGTCTTTTCGTCTGGTTGTTGATTCGTATCCTTTAATCTCTTTTGTAACAAATCACTGAATCTAACGAGTACGCTGGATTCCTGAGTTCTGTGAGTCACTCTAGCAGATTAATTGAATCTAAGGAGGTCATCAAGGGAACCTCTGATGCACGGGCCAGTCAGTCAGAAGCACATGTGAACTTGTAACTAGCACCTGAAGCAGAGGGCAATCTGTGGGATGGAGTCCCTCACCTGTGGGATCTGATCATATCACCAGACGGATAGTCTCAGAACGGAGTTGCATTGTAGGACACCTAGCTGGTTTGGGAGAATTGCTTGGTGGTGTGGGAGCTGCCCCCTCTCCTGACCCCGCACTGGAAATGGGACTAGAATCATTTTACCTGGTCATTGTGTGCCCGTGTATGGACCTTCTCCGTGAGAAGGAAACAATGCTGAGGCCTTTCCGTTGTGCTTTAGCTTTTCAAAAGTGTTTCTGTTCCTAGGCATCAACCAAGCCAAGCCTCCATCCACAACTCATTTTACCTATCATTGTATAATATTACCATATACGGTAAAACCTTGCATTGCGAGTAACTTGTTCTACGAGTGTTCTGTAAGACGGGCAAACATTTCTCACAAATTTTAACTTGATAAATGAGCGACTGTCTTGCAACAAGAGTAGCATGTGACCATGAATGGGACAGGATCACAACTGAGGCAATGACTCTTCTCTCTCACTGCAAGACTGTGGGCGATCATCAATGCAATGTCACATTTCCTCAAAATCCTCAAAAAGGGGCAAAGGCGAGTGTCATTGGATAGGTTCCTTGTTAAAGTTGCACAAAAAAAAAAAAAAAAAAAAAAAAAAAAAAAAAAGATTCCATTGAGCCAGTAGATAGCAGTGATTCCATTAGTGATAGTGAAAGTCATTCTACACAATAACCTTCCTCTCTTGTCTCCCTCACACCAGCCATGAAGGTTTTCAAAGGTACGTGCAGGTTAATTTATCTTTCTTTATATTTTGTGCTTTATTATTTTGTATTATATTATAGTATTATGATCATTTTTATATGAATATTTTTGGGTTGTGGAGCGAATCATCTGAGTTTCCATCATTTCTCAAGGGGAAATTCGATTTGATATACAAGTGCTTTGGATTATAAGCATGTTTCAAGGTTTTACTGTATTTTCATTTCAATTACAGAATTATTGCATGCAGTATTTATATCAGAATATTGGGTGACATAAAATCATGAAGATTTGGCCTTGTGGAAAAAAAAAAAAATCCAACATCCTACAAAATTGAGAAATTCAAGAAAGCCTGTGATGCTCACTGCTATTTGCAACACAGCTCCGCAAGCACAGAGGTAACTTACTATGCACAACTGAGAATCTCCGGGAAGGTTGGAATGATACTCATTCCAGCAGAGACGCCATTCAAGACTAATATCAGCACCAGCAGCCAGAGCTGACTGCAAAAGAGTTTTGGGAAAAGAAACAAAACAAAACGACATGAGCATGTTGATAGACACAGGGCTCAAGGTAAGGAGGGCAGGCTGAATCCCAGAGAAGCGTGCTTCCGAGATGGCATCACTAGTCGGCCTCATTCCCATCTGATCCCACTTCATTCAGAGACAGCACCCTCTGGCGCCTCCCACTTTGAGGGGGGTGGCGAATCAATTCACCACGATACCTCAATGTCTTTGGTCACATATATCACATGCCCTCTTATCACCATACGGAATCTTTTCAAAATTGGTTAAATGTTAACGCTGCTCCTTCAATCACTTGGCTTTGAAATTCAATGGACAGAAAAAAAATGGCATAGAAGGGAACTGGTAAAGAAGGGGCGGGAAACTAATTTGCTCGGCTTCCTGCACTGTGCCAATGGCTTAATATCCATTACCCCCATTGAATCCTTGCAGCAATATTCTGCCAAGTAAGCACCATCATCAGCTCCTTTTTGGAGATAAGAACACGAAGGCTCTCGGAAGCTAAATGATTTGCCGGAGTTCACATACCTAGTAAGTGGCAAAGCAAAATGCAAACCCAAATGTGAAGGACTCTGAAATCCTTGCCCTTTCCATGTCACACTTGATCCCAGACCAGCTGAAAAGCTCTAAGCTCCCTTTGTTTTAGCAAATACATTACCCTTAACAAGCTCCAATGAGCCGGTACCACATGCTAAGAATGATACAGAAACAAACAAACAAAAAAAAAGACGTGATCCCAGACTCAAGGATTGAGAAAGAGTAGGAAAAAAAAAAACCAAAAAACACGTTTTAACAGCTATCAACCAAAGGGAGGCGGCAACAAATGCTATTTTCAAAATAAAGTACAAATAAGCGTGCAATTGAAACAAAGGGAGAAGCGGTTTTTGCATTTGATCCAGATGTGATGATGCATCTTCTATCTGCTTGTAGCAGTGCCACCTTCTGGTAAGGTAGGATACTGCCAGTCCAACCCAACAATTCAACAGCGTCCTAAATCAAGGTAGTTATTTAAATGGTAAGGTTCAATATACGAAACCATACCAGCAGCACACAAAAAATTTCTGTAGTAATTCTTAATGTTATTCAGCCAAAAATACAGAAGAAGGAAAAAACATTACCTTTGAATGTGCAAGACCGGGATAGGTCCCAAGAGCATGTAGCATCCGGCTGTGATTATGTTTCCCGAAACCAGAAACCATTTCCTGAGATGCTGGTAAAGAGAAGGAGAGTCCGAAAAACCCCTGAGAGGTAAAGCCCCTCCACAATCAAGGCATATACACAAAAATCACTGAAGAACACAAGCCCTGACATTTAAAAATCCAAATACATTGAAGAAAATGAAACTTTACATTTAAGAGAAAATATAGGTAGATGGTAAACAGAAAGGCGAGACAATATACCCCAAGATAGGCAGTTTCTAAGGACAAGGATTCCTTGGGAAGGGAGTGTATTGTAGATTTTACACATGGTGAACTATCCTCAAAGTAACAATTTAAAAAGCAGCCATCCTGGGGCGCCTAGATGGCTCAGTCGGTTAGGCATCTGACTTAGGCTCGGGTTCATGAGTTCAAGCTCCATGTCAGGCTCTGTGCTGACAGCTCAGTCTGGTACCTGTTTTGGATTCTTTGTCACCCTCTCTCCCTCTGCCCCTCTCTTACTCACTCTCTCTCTGTCTCTCTCAAAAAATGAATAAACATTAAAAAAAAATAAATAAAATTGGGGTGCCTGGGTGGCTCAGCCGGTTGAGCGTCCAACTTCGGTTCAGGTCATGATCTCACAGTTGACGAGCTTGAGCCCCGCCTTGGGCTCTGTGCTGACAGCTCAGAGCTGGATGGAGCCTGCTTTGGATTCTGTGTCTCCCTCTCTCTCTCTGCTCCTCCCCTGCTCATGCTCTGTCCCTGTCTCAAAAATAAATATAAACATTTAAAAACGTTTTTTTAAATAAATAAAATAAATAAAAATAAAAAAACAGTCAGCACAAGGAACCACCTGGTAGATACAGTACCTGAAAAATTCACACTATTTAAAAAGCACCCAATAAAATTACTCCTTTTAAACTACTTGAATGCAGGCTGAAAATTCTAGGGGTAAAATAGCTGCTCAGTTAAATAAGACTGTCTTAAAACAAGCTCCAATCACTGTTTAAGACACTTGCTTTTTGTCACCTGGGTTACTAAGTAAACTCTATGTAATTTAGGTTGTGATAAATATTTATGCAAGTTTAACAAAGAGAGGAAATGCAAACAAGTAAAAAGCACTAAAGCCACAGAAGCTTGGTATTTGGTTAACAGTACTTACTAGTACTATTTACCAGCATCTGGAGTGAATGGTTTAGACCTAAGCAAAGGAGAACAGAAGGGAATTTCTATCAGGATAGCTACAGGATAAGCAATGTACATTTATGTAGCCACCCCTTTCATTCCCACAGAAAAAAAACTAAATTATCTCCTCTCAGTCTGACCGAGTCCTAATTAGGGACTCTGCCCTAATTATTTTATTTTTTTAAATGCTTATTTATTTTTGAGAGAGAGCGTGAGTGGGGCAAGGGCAGAGAGAGAATCCCAAGCAGGCTCCGCACTGTCAGTGCAGAGCCCGATGTGGGGCTTGAACTCACCATCCGCGAGATCATGACCTGAGCTGAAATCAAGAATCAAACGTTCCACTGACTGAGCCACCCAGGCGCCCCCTGCCCTAATTATTAAGGCCAATCCGTGTATTTTGCATCAAGTGAGTTTCATCCTTTAGAGAGTCTAATCCAATAGTTTTCAACAGCCTTGTTAGCACAGACCCCTTTTCCCCAGAAGAAGCAATTAAAAGTGAATGTTCTCTGAATGATGGCAGGTTGGAAGACATGGGAACCTCTCCATCAGCTCCAAAAATTGAATATAGTACAATTTAAGTGTTCTCGCCCCCTCAAGTAAAAAAAAAAAAAAAACAGAGAGATAATACAGAGGTGATGGCTGTGTTAATTAACCTGACAGAGGACATCCTTTCACAATGTATTCGGATCCCGAATCACCATGATGCACACTTTAAATATCTTACAATTTTATTTCTCAATTAAACAGTGATAAGCTAATTTTTAAAAAAAATTTGAATGTCAATTCTAATCAATGGACCTCTAGAGTTCCAGAAGTACAGCTGGAAAGCTCACCAATCTAAATACACAAAGGTGTTTCTCAAACGTAGGTTAAGTGTACGTACTGGTATTTTATCACTTAGTAAACCAAACAGCGGTGAAGAAATGGCGTAGGATAGTGCCAAACCCAGGAATACCAGTCCCACATAGCCAGCTGGTAAATTAAACTGTAAAAGAAATTTTTTATTAGAGTTACACCATTAAGTCATTTTTTACATAAACAAAAATCTTTTCTTTTTTTAAAAAAAAAAGTTGATTTATTTATTTTGAGACAGAGAGAGAGAGAATGAATGGGCAGAGAAGGGCAGAGAGAGAGGGAGAGAGAGAATCTCAAGGAGGCTCCGTGCTATCAGTGCAGAGCCCGATGCAGAGCTCAAACTCATGAACCGTGAGATAATGACCTGAGCCAAAATCAAGAGCTGGACACTTAACTGACTGAGCCCACCCAAGTGCCCCACACATAAATCTTTTCTACACACTTCTTCAGCTCTTGTTATCTGCCATGAGCCCACTATTAACACTTGGCATCGTTCCTACTTTTGGTCTTACTTTTTTAAATGGATTACTTTTTCTTTATGAGGGGGAAAAAATCTAATCAGAGGTCAAAAGTCCTAGATATCTTGTTTTGCAGCATTTGATATTGTACGTATAAATTTGTTTCTATGAACCATAGTATTTTTACATATATTTTTACATTTAAACCAGTGCTGTATAAACTTCATGTGCATCAGAATTACCCAGAGAACTTTTTTTTTTAATGTTTGTTTACTTATTTTGAGAGAGCGAGCATGAGAGCAGGGGAGGGACAGAGAGAGAGGGAGAGAGAGAGAGAATCCCAAGTAGCACAGAGCCAGACACAGGGCTTGAACCTTGAGATCATGACCTGAACAGAAATCAACAGTCGGTCCCTTAACTGACTGAGCCACCGAGGCACCTCCCAGAGAACTTGTTAAAAGGGTTTCTTAGTTGGATCCAAGTGCTAACATGCCTTGGTTGAAGGGATGGAAAAAAACAAAAAGGTTCTTAGGCTTCAGACCTAGAATTTCTGATTCAAAAGGTATGAGATGGGGCCAGAGAATCTGACTTCTAATAAGCAACTAGGCAATGCTTACTGTCCATGGACTGCAGTATACTGATGTGAAAAACCCGGAGGATAATATCTATTCTGTCCATTTCAAAGGGATGTTAATATCTAATTTAAAGAATTACATGGTATGACACTTTGCAAAAGGCTTTTAAAACAGTAAGTTAACCACATCACTCTGTGATATTGTTACTATTACCAGCATGGTACAAACACCTTTCTTTGGTTAACTGAATTGTTTTCATTTCCTTAATTTCCTTAACTGATTTTCTTAAGTAAGCACGTGAGATTTATATAGGAGTCCATGTACATTTCAACAACTTTATGACAAATTAGTCCCTTAAAGATACGAGGAGGAAGAAAAAAGTCAGAGATGTCTTCTTCCGGTTTTATAACTGGTCAAGACAGAATGGAGCCCTCACAGCCTAAAAGGCTGGGTCACCAGTGACTGGACAGTGAACTGTCAATTCAAACAATGATGTAAAGTCAGAAGAATGGCAATAGGATAAAAAAAACTCTCTATAAAAAAACAGGAAAACTCAAAGATGTATTTTTTTTATTTTTTTTTTAATGTTTTATTTATTTTTGAGACAGAGAGAGACAGAGCATGAGCAGCAGAGGGGCAGAGAGAGAGGGAGACACAGAATGTGAAGCAGGCTCCAGGCTCTGAGCCATCAGCACAGAGCCCGAGGCAGGGCTCGAACCCACGAACCGTGAGATCATGACCTGAGTCGAAATCGGACGCTCAATCGACTGAGCCACCGAGGTGCCCCTCAAAGATGTATTTCTAAGTGTATTTAGAAAATGACACTTGTAAAGATTTCTTATGAAATAGACATGCACAACTGGGATTTACCAGACTTTGGCTAAGATATTTTTTCCTCATGTGGGCAGAAACTCTCTTAAGAAGATACAAAAATGACTCCTGGAGAGATACACTGTTGATGTGACTGCAATGTGTCCTCATAAACACAAAATATGTTTCTTGTTACCTTATGGATGCTCACTGCTTAAACAAGATATTATATTATTTTTTAAGTCTTGGGCAAGGCACCAAAATGACAGTGTCCACGTTTATCTTTTTGGATATTTCACAAACACAAAACTGTCCCTAGTGCCGTTGAGGAATTGTGTTTCTGGTAACTGCTTTTTTAATTCCAGTACCTCACATAAAGTCAGCATGGGCCGCAATTAGATTTCTACCTCAATAAACACATGTTAATCCTTCAGTATAATTAACTACCAGAGTTGGTCATACACTTTATCACATCACTTATAATCCTTTTTTCAGAAATATCTAAGAGTGGGGTGCCCGGGTGGCTCAGCCGGTTAAGCCTCCGACTCTTTAGCTCAGATCATTATCCCAGGGTCATGGGATCGAACCCCACACTGGGCCCCACTTCAGGCTATGCACTGAGGACAGAAACTGCTAAAGATTCTCTCCCTCCTTCAGCCCTTCTCCCTCACTCGTGCTCTAACCTCTCTCTCTAAATTAAAAAAAGAAGAGAAGGAAAAGAAATATCTAAGAGCAAATCTCTACAACAACCCTTTACATTCAGAATTTATTTTCCAGCACTAAAAAAAAAAAAAAAGAAGAAGAAGAAGAAGAAGAGTCTTGGTTCCTTTCTACCGTCCCAGATTAATATATTCCATAGTCATTCAATTATATGTAACAGCCTAAAAAGTAAGTGGACCCACAAAGGGACCTGTTAGTGAAGAACATTAAATGAGCTACAGAGTACCCCAAATGCTTCACTGGAATTCAAACAAGTAGAGGAAAAGTGTCCTTGTCAAGCACTCAGGATAATTCCCAAGCCAGACATGTGATGACTCAAGCAAGACCTTGAAAAGGAGACCAATGTTTGGGCCACTTGGTGAAAAGCTTCTCTCACTTGCCCTGAATCAGACCCCTGGCGAAAGGGATGTCACAGAGGGAGGGGACAGGCTGTGTTGGGGTGTAGATCTCATTCTGTCTCCTCACAGCCACTCAGAGTCTTTCTACAGAGTGGGGCCCCAGAGCAAGCAAGTGCACCCACCTTCTACAGTGCAGAGCTCTCTGACAAGCAGGCTACTCACCTTCTCCAGAACAAAGAGAGACAGAGTAGGATCAAGGAAGCCAAAACATGAGCTGAGGGAGTTGATGACGAAGGCTATAAGTGCAATCTTGGGTAATGTGATGAGTTTCCAGAATGAGTGTTCACCTGGATCAGAGTCTAAGGGTAAAAAATCCAAAAAAGAGTAATTAAAACTCTAACCTATTTGGAAAAGTGAAATTGGTAAGGCCATCTTTTATCTGGTAATCAAAATAACTGCACCTCTGAGTTTGCCTAAAATTGCATATTGTCTGCATTTGCGTATAAATTATTCACACCTAGAAGCCACATTCAGTCTTCTTAAAGACAATTTCTCAAATTGATAAAGAATCCACTGGAATCAGAGTGTGAGGAGAAGAGAGGGTCTTAGGTTATAGGTTATAACTTTGAAGCAAGTTGAGGCCTTCCCCCCAATGAGATAGAGACTATATGAAGTTAGATTTGGTGCATGGGAAGAGCCAGAAGCTTTATCAAGGAAGGGAGAAATCTGAGTTCATCAAAGGGCACAGACAAATTTCTTTTTTTTCCTGATGGCAGAGAAAACACCAGATTCAGAAGGGTGTTACTGAATCATGCATAAATCACATGGGCATTCAAGGTCAACTGAGCACGGACCTCACTTCTAGCATCCCCCTTGTAGTAACCCAGATTCTTTACTGTTCCCAGCAACAGGAACTGTTGTATCCAAGCCTCCAATCACATGCTATGATTCCTTTCTTTTTCTCCTGCTAATTTTTCAAATTCTATTCACTCTGTGAGGTCTGGCTCTGGCCCTAATTATTCCACAAATCTTACCTTCCTCTGTTTCCTACTGCACTTCTGCTCTGTACCATACCTTTTAGCAACTAAACCACATTTCATTTTACATTGTTTACTATTGTTTGGTGATTTTCCTGTCTTCCCGTTAATTTACTGAGCCATGTCTTTGCTGAGTCAGGTACCATGCAAAATGCTGGGCAGACAAAGACAAAGAAGACAAGCTCAGACCCTGTTCTCACAGAGAAGTTACAGTAAAGAGTGGAGAGAAAAAGGATGGAACAAGGAGGGAATCTTTCAAAGCACAGCAGATAGTTGGCTAAAACAAAACAATAACAAAAACAAACAACAACAACAACAAAAACAGAGAAAGCCATATAGAGAAGGCTTTCGTCAAGTAGTAATATCTAAGTTGGTGCCCAAAGCATGAGCTTAAGATGAGCAAGCAAAGAAGAAGGAAAGAATAATCCAGGCATATTATTCCAGGAATGGTACATTCCAAGACTCAGCAGTGAGGAAAACTATTCTGAGTTTGAAGGAAATGAAAGAAGAGAAGCAAAGCTAGAGGATGGAGATTAGAGTAGGGGACACCAGCACGGTGGAGAGAGAGATCATACTGCAGAAGCATGTTATGCAAGACTTTGTAAAACATGCTAACAGGCCTGGGAAATCACTACGGATTCTAACCGAGGGGTAGGAATGAGATCTGTAGTTTAAAGAGACCTCTCTGTGGCCTTGTGGAGAATGGAGACAAGAGGACCAGTTAGGAGGCTGTTGGAGTGCCAGGCCAGAGATGATACTGGCCAGGTCTGGGTAAGGAAGATCTTTGAGGGTGAGGATTAGCCCCTGTTATGCTCTCATTTCTCCAAAAACACCCACCATGCTTCATTGCTTAATTCTTGGTGAATAATGATCTAGCATGGAACAAATTCAAAGAAACACAAAGATCGGTTCAAGTATTTTAAGTGTTACATTTAGACTTTGTCAGGATACAAGGGATAAAGGTTAAACCATGATGTTAGTTTCTTAATTATTAGCCAAATATTCAATGCTAAACAGTCCACGACGCTCAACCACAGAAAGTGCACAGACTTAGAAAGGGGACAAGCACTAGCATATGGCTCGGTGCAGTAGGGCCAGCAAGGAGACTCCATTTGGCGAGTATTTTGAATTGTTTATTAAAGATGTTCATTAGTCGCCTTTAAGATATAAATTATAAAAGATCAACTTGAATTGGTTATATTTACTTGCATATAAAAGGTATTATGGATTTATGCTATAAGATAAATTATTATGGCAGAAATGGCCCCCTTCTCTAAATCCAAAGTGGGAAAGATGAGAAATCATAATGAGAGTACGTAAGAACGTCCATAGCAACAAATACATAATGAGTTTAATTAAACTGTTGCAGAAGCCCAAGTAATGAAAACCTAGGCTGATTATCTGCTTTAAGAGACAGATGAGGAGCTTTTCCAAGCTACTCAATTACTCTCTCTGCTCCCCACAATTCTGACATATTCTTTGAGAGAGACATGACCCCCTGGTTGACCTGGCCTGCCACAGGAAGCTACCGGTAGAGGCGAGAAAGCAGGGGAGGGAAACAGGGAACCCCTCAGGTGTGAAGGGGCAGGAAGCATGCTGATAACTGCAGCACTACTTACTGAGCACTTATTCCAATGACCGAGAAGCTTCAGAAGGATTTCCCAGAAGAAGTAATACAAGTTAAGTTTTGAAGGATGAGGAGGGATTAGAGTGGATGCGAAAGGGACAGGTTTCAGATCATGTGACTCCTCTACTGGGATCTCACAACAGCTTCCTCACAGCTTTCAGGATAGGGCTCACATTTCACAGATTCACAGATTTTTAATAAGAGGATTGGCACGTCCATGACTGTGCTTTAGAAATATTTCTTTAGAGCAGTACAGGAGAGGGGACTTGATGCACAGATACAAAGGATGAGAGAGAGGGAGGGACCAAAGTTGACTCGAGAACCATGTTGGCTACGAGTCTAGAATGGGGTAAAGGAGTGGGGTAGAACTTGTAGGACACAAAATTCTGCCAATATCATCAAAATAAAAGACGATTTAATTGTCAGGCTTCTCTCCATAAGCTCTCCCAAAACACTAATTTTATTTAACTTTTTTATTTTTTTAATGAACCATTTTTTTAAATATTTATGTATTCATTTTTGAGAAAGAGAAAGAGAGCGCATGTGTGAATCAGGGAAGGGCAGAGAAAGAAAGGGAGAGAGAATCCAAAGCAGGCTCTGCGCTCAGAGTGGAGCCCGATGTAGGGCTCGATCCCACACCCTGGGATCATGACCTGAGCCGACATCAAGAGTTGGGCTCTCAACTAACTGAGCCACCCAGGTGCCTCCCAAAACACTGATTTTAAAAAGTACTCCTAGGGGCGCCTGGGTGGCGCAGTCGGTTAAGCGTCCGACTTCAGCCAGGTCACGATCTCGCGGTCGGTGAGTTCGAGCCCCGCGTCGGGCTCTGGGCTGATGGCTCAGAGCCTGGAGCCTGTTTCCAATTCTGTGTCTCCCTCTCTCTCTGCCCCTCCCCCGTTCACGCTCTGTCTCTCTCTGTCCCAAAAATAAATAAATGTTGAAAAAAAAAAAATTAAAAAGTACTCCTTAATGAGAACACCTAAACCTATACTTACAGGCTTTACATTATCAATCTCAGAGATCTTTTTATTAACACCAGTTTTTTCCATTCAATCTAAATAGAAGGTCCTTCCATAGATAACCAGTGTTTGCCAAAAAGTTTGTTCATAGAAATATAGCTAACTGGGGCTTTGTTGAGTTCAGTGAAAATGCCGGGAGATTTTAGTTGAGGATTAACAGAAATGAAGAGAAATGACCATCAAGTAACTAGGCTGGTGGCAACCAGAGGGGGCCGCAAAAGATTGTCGGGGGAGGGAGGAGGCGAGGGGAGCAGGCCAGGACTCCAGGAGAAACAGATATTGGGGCCGGTCCAGTGCCTAATCACACAAGTTCTAAATACCCTGCCCTACCATTAATTAATAAACACAGTCTTTCCCCCATACAGTGTGGTAAAGGGCGAACGTGACTCTTTTCCCTGCTCCATGACAATGTGACCTGGTGTCAGTGTCTTGATTATCGGTCCATTGTTCATCTGTGAACCAAGCAACCAGGACGCTTAACCACAGAAACCACTGTAGAAGAAGTAGTTGTACTTCTCACAAGTAGAAACCACCGTCTTACATGTTTCAGCATGGTGGTGCCTCTTTAGAAACATTCTCTGGCTCTCTCCTCTCTAGCCTTCAAGTTAGCTCTCTAGCTCTGTTCCCTTCGTCATCGGATAAGTGTAAAATGCCAGCTATGTCACTAGGCAATCTTGCTTACAGTGAGAATAACCCTTGCCTGGTACAGAAGAAACTGTACATGAACCTGCACACCATGATTTGTGCCCTGAGTGTTCTGACTCTTGTACCCGGCACGTCCCTCGTGGTGATCCTGAGAGCTATGTCCAGGAAGTTGCTACAGGATAGGTTGACTCTTATGGGGTGTGAAGGTTTGAAGCCAGAGTGACCCCCATTACTGCCTGATGTGGCCCTGTGTCTTTGTACTTGGGCTGTGCTTCACAGGCAGCTGGGAGGACCACTGGGGAGAAGGTCAGGCCTTGCCCTCCCGCCTGGTGGCCTTCCAGGAAGACAGTGCCATGTGTGGCCCTTGGTAACTCGTCATTCTGAAATATTTAATTAAGTCCAAGAACACCTCTGGTGGACACTTTATATGGTGATGTTTTATGACAAGGAATTAAATATTCGTTAGTTCTAAAGGTCAGAAAAAATTGTAATATATAGAAATTCACATAAACTGCCTACAGCAACATTTCTCAAAAGAGAATCAGCTCTTTCAGGGTACTCTAGAAATCTACCATGGAGCATACAAGATGAAAGTGAGTACTGTTAACTTGGTCCCCTATACATGTATAAAAATACTTCAGTTTAAGATTCTTAAAGTGAGTAATAAATGCAGTCTTACCATAATTAGGTAAAATGTACATGTTGAGTGGTACCATCAGCAGAACTATGCATCCCAGAAAGATAAAAGGCACCTCATAGCCAAAGGATTGATACAAGAAGCCACCTAAAGGGGGCCCTAACACTAGTCCCAGGCCAGAAAAAATCTCAAGACTTCCCTAAAAATGGGGGAAAAAAAGAGAATTGAGTCAATACAGTTGGTTTGAAGAATTCACAAATAAAGATTTAATGGACGCTAACTGAAAAAAAGGCTATCCACTTCACAATTTACACACCCAAACCCACACAACCCCAAGATGAACCAAAACTTTAAACATGCATATTGAAACCACAGAAGTACTAGAAAAATAAAATATGGGAGGAGGTTTTTTTTTTCTATGGTGGGGAAGTTTTTCTAATTATGACATAAAACTCAGAAGACACAGAAGAATCATAAATCTGATTACATGAAAATGTGAAAAAACTATGGATGTTAAGCACATAAAAAAGACAAATGAAGAATAGTAAAAAAAAAAAAAAAAAAAAAAAAAAAAAAAAAAAAAAAAAAAAAAAAAAAAAAAAAAAAAAAAAAAAAAAATACTGACAAAGGACTAATTTCCCCAAATATATCAAAAGAGCTAATACTAATCAATGGGGGAAAAATGAACAACCCAATAGGAAAATGAGCAAATGCTACAAACAGACTATTGACACGTGAAAGAAAATGCAAATACGTCTCAGGCATGTAAAAGAAAGCTCACCCTCACTTAAAAAAAAAAAAGTAAACGGTTAAACCACAAGATAACAATTTTTACCCATCACCCATCAAACGCTCCGCGGGGGCAGCAAAGTGAGGAAAGAGGCACGTTTGGACACGGCTGGTGAGTGAACACAGGAGGGTAACTTGGCAAATCTATCAATATTACAAACGCACATACTCCCTGGCCCAGAATGCCATTCTGGGAATTGAATTTATATGGGGAACCATAAAGATGTGACATGGTGTATGCACAAGCTTGTGTGTTATAGCACTGTTTGCACCAGGAAAATACGTAGACAATCTAAATATTCATTGATAGTTTGAAGAAACTATGGATGTATGTTACCTCCATCTAGTGAAGTACCGTATACTGCTACTAAAGGGAGGTAAAGAGTAAGAAACTCTTCACCCATAGGCATAGAAAGATCTCCAAGATGGTTTCATTGTTAGCATATCAGCCAGGTTCTGAACAGCGTAGAGAGTATGCGACCACGAGTGTAAAGAAAACAAAGGGGGAAGGAATCATGCCCTGCGTGTGTGTGTGCACTTGTGTGAGCGTGTACATACATGTTCATACACACATGGAATCACTCTAGAAGGAACCGATAATCCCTGTTGCCTTCTGGGAGAACGATGTTGGACTGGATGCCTGGACAACAGGTGGGTCTATGAAGCTTGAGGAAAAGTAACATATAGAATACATTCACTCTATCCTCTATAACTTTTGAATTTTGTAACTTTTATAGCTTTTTATAACTATTTGAATAGTTCAAATAGTTATATAACTTTTGAATTTTGTAACTTTTGAATTTTGAATATAACTTTTATAACTTTTGAATTTTGTACCATGTAGAAGGCGTTTAGTAAAATTAAAATAAACAAAACGGTGTTATGGGAAATATTTTACCATTAAAAAACTCTTACAGAAATTGCGCCATTTTAAATCAATGTAGTCTTGGGGCGCCTGGGTGGCGCAGTCGGTTAAGCGTCCGACTTCAGCCAGGTCACGAGCTCGCGGTCCGTGAGTTCGAGCCCCGCGTCAGGCTCTGGGCTGATGGCTCAGAGCCTGGAGCCTGTTTCCGATTCTGTGTCTCCCTCTCTCTCTGCCCCTCCCCCGTTCATGCTCTGTCTCTCTCTCTGTCCCAAAAATAAGTAAACGTTGAAAAAAAAAAATTTAAAAAAATAAATAAATAAATAAATCAATGTAGTCTTTAGGGGTGTTAAACAGAGACTGTGGTTTACAACCTCACATCCTCCCTCAGACCTCAGAGAGGACACGAAAGTACTCCATTGATAACTTTCAATTTCCTAAAGAATACAGGAATTCTCCATTTAAGCACCATGAAGCCATCCAGAACAACCACCGTGTTAGGGTGTCAGTTTTTGGCCACAGTTTTTATACAGAAACTCAGTACGGCAACATTAATTTCCCCTGTCGATCAGAAAATCAAATGGACTCCCGTCGTCGTCACAGGAGTTTCTTGGAAAGCACCTTCCAGAATGTTCCACAGAACGGCAGCTCTTTAAGAGTTAAAGAGTGTGGCCATAGTCAAATTGAGTTGGGGAAAATATCTTTACTACAGGATTTCTCGGAGTCTTAATACACTCCCGTGAACTGGATGTCTCTAAGTTGGAAGGGACGTGTGCTCCAAACATTTTACCCACAAAACCTTATTTTACAGAGCACGTCAATGGGCTCATGTTCTCCAGAACCCTTTCTGAGAAATGTTGTTTCTGGGAAATGTAAGCAGTACGCCTATCACAGTGGCCACCACTGCGTGCCACATGGCTGTACAACCCAAAATAAACCTAAGCAGCTAGCTGGCCGGCTGTAGATATAGGTATTTAATTAAAATGGGAGTAAATAACGATCTCCACAGCAAATAGTGTACTTAATGGCCAAAGCTATAGTATTAATATGGGCAAAGGAGGAAATTCTTGGTACTAAGCCGATGAGGCCCTGAAGTCTCAAGGATAATTATTTGTTGGGAGGGCTGCATTTGGTCTACTATGCAAACCACACGTCCTTCAGAAACGCATGGGTCCAGAGGAGACAGGCAGGAGAGAGCCTGCTTGGGGTGAAGGAGGCAGTAGCCAAGAGCTGGGACAGAAATCTGGTACATCACCAGTGCCAGGCATCCAGGCACCTAGCCAATATATTATGTTAATACAATGCTACCAAGTTCTGGGTTTGGGGGAAAATAAGAAAGCACTCGGCAAACGGCACAGAGGCAGGGAAAGGCTTTAAGGTCTCTAAGATTCCTTCCACGAACCTGGGAAGAGTAGAGGAAGGACATTAGTATATACTCAAGTGGCCACTAGGGATGACTTTTCTAAAGCAAAGGAATGCCTCCGGCAGCTCAGCCACAATCTGGGCTACAGAGACACAACAAAATACTACTGGGCAGGTGTTGTTCTTTTAAGTGGTTGACTCTAAACCCAGGAAGAGACCTAAATAAGACTAATGGTATGTTCAGTGACAGTCCGCTGCTAGAAGCAGTAATTGGAGTAAAAGGTAACCAAAACACAGAAAATAGAAAAGAAAAGAAAAAGAAAGGGCAGGTCTAGAAGAATGGATTTCAGCTTTAACTTGGAAGGGCAAACAAATACTTGAGCCTACGCTAAAAGGAAAACAGGAAAAACGCGTAAAATACATACCAACACCGTGGCCACACTGTTTGGAAAAGCCTTTGCAAGAATAGAAAAAGATGCAGTTATTGCCGCCGCAAAGCTGACTGCGTCTGCTATTCTCACTAGAAAACACATAGCGGTAAATACCGGTCCTCCTGGAACTTGGTCCAACACACTAAAAAAGAACAAGACAATTCTCAAATGCCAACTTGGTTTGTCGTCGTCGTCGTCGTCGTTATTGTTTTCCTTTTTACCGCTACTCACTGAAAAGAGTAGCATCTCACACAGTTATTATAATAAATCTCTTTAGAATATGAATGTTTTCAATTGCTTTATTATACAAAGGGAAGTCTCTTTTTGGGGGGCAGATGGGTAACCATTCGATTCATAATGACGGTTTAGTCGCCCTTTTCTGTTGATGCAATTGGCCGTTTAAATGATAACACTAGTTTCTCTGAGATATGTAGAATCACTCTGACCAGAACATATACAAAAGAAAGACTTCTTAGTTTCAGGTATCCCTCAGTGGTAGGACTCAAACCTTGGGGGGGAAAAGGGGGGTGGGGCAGAAAATAGAAGACCATGCCCCTTCCCCTGCCAAAAAATAGAAAAAGGAAAAGGAAAAAAAAAAACAAAAACCACTTAGTTTGACACGAAGGCTTCCTAGCTTACTTCACCATAATCTTACAGCACTCTTCCTTCTCCTATGTTCCCCAAGAAGCTGTGTAGGCTCATCCATATTATTTGCCACTAGGCTGCTGATTTAAGGATTCTTAAGAACTTCCACAGCTATTTTGCCTCTATTTTCCCTTTTCCTGGAAATAGCAATGGAGGGAACCATTCTGAAGTGAGCATATGACTCAAGCCTGGCCAGAGTACCCCCTCCCCTGCATTAACCTTGATGCAGGGATAGGTCACCAACAAAGATCAAGCCAGGGGCTCCATCCTGTGAATCTCCTGGAATTCCAGGAAAAGTGGCATTCTCTTCCTCTGGGAGCTGCTGGGGAATTCTTGCCACCACAAGCAGACAGCTTGTCCATGAACAAAGCACAAGAAGAGGAAAGCAAAACTGGGAGCTTGAGATAGATTTCCGATGGCAGTATTTTAATATGTGTGTCCTGATGTTCTCCAGCTCACTCTTTATTGCACTTTCTCTGCTCGAGGCAAAATGTATCTGTGACTCCGAAAAGTGGGTTAAGTTTCTGTCACTCCCACTCATAGCATTCCTAATGAACAGATTCAGAAGCCACTTAATGCTCAGCCCTTAGAAGACTCTGTCCTTCATTAGTCCCATCCTCTAAATCACCCAATAGCTACACGCTGAGCCCTCAACAGACAATCAATGGGACGGACTGATTTAAAGAATTCATTAACATTTTAAACTGAAGATAAATTATGAAATCTGTTCAAGCTCCCAAACAGATCAGAGCATGACTTACCCAAAGAGAACTGTAACTCCTCCTGAGACAAACATTCCTGCCACAAACATAAATTTTGCTCCAATATGTACAAGCTATAATAAATGTCAGAGAAGAGTCGGTAAATCGACGACTGTTACAAGTCTACATCCAGATAAACACAAACCCGCTGTATCAGGAAATATACAAGATTTGGGAAACATATGTTTGGGAAATATAGTTAATGTAATATTGTAATAATTCTTTAGTGGAATGGCAACACACATTGCTTAAAAACATGGAAGAAGCAAAAAAATCAATCAACCCATTACGATAAGCAAAGTAAGTCAGTCAGAGAAAGATAAATACCATATGATTTCACCCATCTGTGGAATTTAAGAAACAAAACAGATGAGCAAAGAGAAAAAAAAGAAAAGAAGCAAACCACACAACAAACTCTTACTATAGAGAACAAATTGATGGTTACCAGAACGAGGTGGGGGCGGTGGGGGGGGAATGGGTGAAATAGGTGAAGGGGACTAAGGAGGGCACTTGTTGTCATGAGCCCAAGGGGTTATATAGAAGTGTTGAATCACCACACTGCACACCTGAAACTAATATTACACTGATGTCAACTGAAATTAAAATAAAAACAAAAAAAATCAATCAACCCTATGAACGGAGTTATCAACAGAAGCATATTTCATAAAATATAATGGTGGTTATTTCTGAATCAATGGAAATTCGAGGCTTATAGATTAGAATAGGTCATTACACAACTTTCAAAACTTAAAATGTTCCCATGAACTTTAATACTCACGTATTTTCCAAATACCAAAGATGCCAGCAAGTCAAATAAAGCATAACATCCAAAGATCATACCGGTAACTGTATTGCTGGCTCCTTTCTTTTCAGCCTTTAAAGAAACGAAAAAGGAAACAAAGTTTGACAGACAAATTAGCATCAGTGAGGAAAAATAGAGCTATCAGATCAGAGCATTGTTTTCTTATAACCTTTATCTGTGTAGCAATTTTCAAAGATTATTATTTTAAAATAAGCTGGATGGGGAAGGAAGGGAAACTATGGTAAAACCTAGTCTCTGACATGGAAACTATTCACTCAACACACCCCTAAAGAATTGTCAGCTTTACAATCTTGAGAAAGGAAAACAAAGCTGGCAGCAACGTACTTTGTGATTTCAAAAATAAATTGCAAAGCTGAATTAAAACAGCATAAATACAAACATACGAAACAGATTAGAGACCTTAGAAATAAACCCACACATATATGATCATTGATCTTCCACAGGGTGTCAAGGACACACAACGAAGAAAGGATAGTCTCTTTGACAAATGGCGTTGGGGAAACGAGACATGCACCAACAAAAGAATGAAGTCAGACCCCCATCTTACACCACTCACAAAATCAACTCAAAAAGACTTAAACGTAAGACCTGAAACTGTCAAAACCCCCAGAGAAAATATGGGGGAGGAGGTGCTTCTTGACATTGGTCTTGGCGATGATTTCTTGGATTGGACACCAAGAGCTCGGGCAATAAAACCAAAAGTAGACAGATGGGATGAGAAGTCAGCTATCCATAAGCCAAGGAGGGAAGCGGGAACAGACTCTTCCCTCACAGTCCTCAGGAGGAACTAACCCCGTGAACACCTTCATCTCAGACTGGTGGCTCCAGAAGCCACCCAGTTTGTGGTACTTTGTTATGGCAGCACCAGCAAACTAAAACAGGTACCTCAGAGGGAAGGTAGCATCGAAGGAGTCAATAAAGATGTAGAAAGAACACTCATGGGTCAAGCCACATTATCCACGTTCTTTGCTTAATAGATCTGAGAAGTATTCTAGAGTTTGGCATTACTTATATAATGGCCTCACAACTAACACTTACTGGCCCCCCACTATGAGCCAGGATCTCTATTATTCAGCACTGTTTTACATGGTTTCTAGCAACAATGAAATAAAGCATGTATTTTTAGTGGGCCCCATTTTATAGATGAGGGTACAGACTTGCAAAGTTTATAGGGTCACAGAAGCCATGACAGTTTCCATCTTGAGCAGGTTCCCACGTTCACCGTAGAGACGGGATGGTGACTTCAGATATCCTAGAATCACATTCCACGGCAGCAGCTAAATATGACTTTTGGAATGTGGATCCTGCTTCACATCAGTAAGCAAGAAGAGCTATTAAAAGCAATTTCTGGTTCACATGTTATCCTGTGACAACAAAAGAGGATGCCAGAAAAAGGAGGACTAGAAATAGGAACCTTACTCTAGAATTTAAGAAGGGCCCTGTTTTTCCTTTGCCTAATTAGCTCTGGCTAGAAGGAAGGATAACAGAGCATGCAGGAGGAAGGGTAAGTTTTTCCAGTGCATTTGTCAACCACAGGGTTCTAATAAGAAACAAAAAGGAAGAGCCCACTCTTTGTATCTAGACCTTTTAAAATTAGAGCGCTCTCTCCTTGCCTGTTTTCTTTCCTTCAGCCTTCCCTCTTGTAAGCAAAAAAACTAAATCAAAAACTTAAAAGTATAGCATAGGGAATATAGTCAATAATACTGTAACAACTTTGAGGATACCTGGGTGGCTTAGTTAAGCATCCGACTTTGGCTCAGGTCGTGATCTCGCTGTTCCGGAGTTCCAGCCCTGCATCGGGTTCCCCACTGAAAGTGTGGAGCCTGCCTGTCATTCTCTCTCTCTCCCTCTCTCTCTCTC